AGTTTGTACAACTCAAATCTTTCCAAAAGGCAGGAATATGTATAATTTCTCTTTGTATGAACAATCTTTGAGGATTGATGTGCAGTTCAAACTCTGGTCAGATACCAGGCTTTTTGACTTCTCTCCCTTATGGGGTTTTTGGTGGACCTTGGGATTTCCTCTCCAATGGAAGTTCTTCCCTTTCGTCTTCTCTATGACTACCCTGGACATTTTTGAGGTCTGATTTATGGCTGTTCTGGTGAGCTGAAAGAACAGATTTAAGGCTGTAACTCTTCCCGCACTCCAGGCATTTATAGGGTTTCTCTCCTCGGTGATTGATTTCATGTGCCATAAGGCTTCTCTTCTCTGAAAAACTTTTTCCACACTCCAAACATTTAAAAGGTTTCTCTTGTGTGTGGGTTCTTTCGTGTCTGTTGAGGTCTCTTTTCTGTAAGAAACATTTTCCACACTCCATACATTTATATGGCTTCTCCACCATGTGGTTTTTTTGGTGTGTGTTGAGGATACCTTTTTGAGCAAAGCTTTTCCCACACTCCAGGCATTTATATGGCTTCTCTCCTATGTGGGTGTATTGGTGCAGCTTTAGTGTATTTTCCCAACGGAAACTCTTCCCACACTCCAGGCATTTATAGGGTTTCTCTCCTCTGTGTTTCATTTCATGTCCATTAAGACATCTTTTGTCGGAAAAACCTTTCCCACACTCTAAGCATTTATATGGCTTCTCATATGCATGGGTTCCTTCATGGGTTTTGAGGTGTGCTTTCTGAAAGAAACATTTTCCGCACTCCAGGCATTTATATGGCTTCTCTCCCACATGGATTTTTTGGTGTGCATTGAGGACTCCTTTTTGAGGGAAGCACTTTCCACACTCCAGGCATTTATACGGCATCTCTCCGGTGTGAGTGTATTGGTGCAGCTTTAGTGTATTTTTCCAACAGAAACTCTTTCCGCACTCCAGGCATTTATAAGCTTTTTCTCCTCTGTGTTTCATTTCATGTCCAATGTGACTTCTCTTATCAAAAAAACCTTTCCCACACACCAGGCATTTATACGGCGTCTCTTGTGTGTGCGTTCTTTCGTGTCTGATTAGAGTTCCTTTCTGAAAGAAACATTTTCTACACTCCAGGCATTTATATGGCTTCTCTCCCGTGTGGATGTTTTGGTGTGCATTGAGGACGCCTTTTTTAGGGAAGCATTTTCCACACTCCAAGCATTTATATGACTTATCCACAATTTGGTACTTTTCGTTTTGTGTAGATGTCTCCTGGAAGAAGTAATTTTCATAGATAGGACTGTTTCCAACCTCCAAGCCTTCGTCTATTGTCTCTTCGATTGTGATTTCCCTGATGTCGACAGGACACCGGTTCTTGTTATATTCTTCTGCTTCCATTTTTAGGTTTCTTTCTTCCTCCTTTTTACTTCCCGCTGTTTTCAGCCACATTTTATTTGGAGCTCCCCCATCGTCACTCCCTTGTCCATCACCACCTTGAAAGAAGAAAGACAAAAAGTTGGAAGGCATGAGAAAAGGGAGGATTGAAATCAATGGACTGCAGAAATGTTGTGTGTGAGAGAAAGAAGAGGTGAGAATCTTCTTATGGAGGAGAGAACTTTGCTTCATCAAAGGGGAACCCTTTCTGGAAGTTGTTGGATGATCACTTGGCCATGGTGGTCCACGCTCTGGTTACATTATGAATAGACTACTGCAACGCACTCTACATGGGGTTGCCTCTGAAGACTGCTCGGAAGCTCCCGCTAGTCCAATGCTCGGCAGCCAGGCTGCTCACGGGAGCGGGGTACAGGGAGAGTACAACTCCCTTGTTACGCCAGCTCCATTGGCTGCCTATTAGCTTCAATTCAAAGTGCTGGTTTTAACCTATAAAGCCCATAATGATTCCGGCCCTGTCCAAGCGTATCTCCCTTTACGAACCACCAAGGACCTTAAGATCATCCGGGGAGGCCCTACTCTCGGCCCCACCACCATCGCAGTTACGTTTGGTGGGGACGAGAGACAGGGCCTTCTCCGTGGTGGCCCCTCAGCTGTGGGACTCCCTCCCTAATGAGATTAGATCTACCCCCTCCTGACCTTCCGGAAGAAACTTAAATCCTGGCTGTGGGATCAAGTGTTTGCAGACTAGACCGATTTATTAATGAAGATAAGACTTTATTTGACCGCAATGGACTGATTTGGATGACAATTTTAATCTGGAGAACTGCTTTTAATGTATATTTATAACTATTTTAATGTATATGGTTGTATTTTATGATATGTTTTAGATTGTTTCGGCACTGAATGCTTGCCTGTTGGAAGCCATCCTGAATCCCTCTTCGGAAGATGAGAAGGACAGGATATAAATATTTTAAATACAAATAAATAAATAAATAAATCACTCCCACCATAATATCATTTACCACGGGAAGTGATGCAACATGCATCCCGAAAATATCTGCCACCATTTGATTCCCCAACTTATTGACACTTTGGTTTTATAAGTCTTCAATTTACATGAATTGCAAGTGTTCTCACAACTCACTGAAGACTTCCAAAAGTTATAAATAAATGGGTTAAATAATATGGATCATTTACAACTGACCTCCAAATCCCTTACTATGAAGCCACCCTACTAAACCGTGTTTAATTTATTTATTTGTTTATTTAGAGCTTTTATAACCTGGTCTTCTCGACCTCCGAAGAGGGACTCAGGCCAGCTAACAGCAGAAAATTCATACACACATAGAATAAACATAATAGCATCATAATACATTAATACATAAAATACATTAAAATACAGATCATACAATTACAAAAGCCAGGTCGTCAGAGTAAAATCACAAATTCATCACCATCCGCCAGTGTGGTCAGCCGTTATTGACTCAATCATCATTCTGCAAATGCCATATTCCAAAGCCAAGATTTTACCAGCTTTCTGAAAGTCAGGAGGGAAGGGGCAGATCTAATCTCCAACGGGAGAGAGTTCCAGAGCCGAGGGGTCACCACCAAGAAGGCCCTGTCCCTCATCCCCACCAGACGCGATTGCGAAGGTGGTTAGAACTAATTCCAGAGACTCCATACTGTATAAACATTTTGATGATCTACGACATAATCCTGAATCCTTCAAATACCATATATTAGAAGTAGTCACACAATCCAAAGACATGGACTTTAACATTAAACTCTTACAAAGGGAAACATATTGGATCTTCAGATTACGGACAGAACATCCACACGGGCTTAATGAATACAATTCATATAGTTGTTACATATAACCTTGAGATTTTTTACATTACCCCTTGTATACTACACATCCCTGGGGATTACATTACTCGTAACGCCATCTAGTGGTGATTTTCTCTACACCTATAACTTTAAATGAGCCTTTAATTAACTTCTCTGTCTCCTCTACATCTGACATGCATTCTCCTCTTTAAATAGAGATAATCCTTAGATCCTGTTCATACTCGCAATTAGAATCAAACTCAGAAGCAGAGTATCTTGTAAGTATACACCTATTTGGTGAAATATATTGGTTATACATTTATTTTGACATATGTAATGTTTAAATGTTAATAGCCACAATTTGTTCCTTTTACCTAGATCCCATTGCAAAAAATATTTAAGTATCTCTTATGAGAACATATGTAAAAGACTGAACTTTGTAAGTATTTCTAAATGCATTTTATTTCATTATGTTCAACCTATACAATTGTAAAATGTATTTATGTATGTAAAATTACAGACCACCCGAAGAAGGCCTAAAGCAAAGGCCGAAACCGGTCGTGGGAGGCTGATTGATGAACATACAACGACATCACTAAAAGACTATACAGAACTCTTTGCATATTGTCCAATTTTGTGACCACTGTGAATTGAACAGTCCTTGTTTCACAATTTACCTATCTGTTGGACTTATTCATTATGTTATCTTTATAAGGGGATTATTGGTGTTTAACCCGTTTACTAAGGAACCCATCCATATTGTATTTATAGGTCAGCACCAGCACTTTGAATTGTGCTCATAAGCATTAAGTAAGCATTAAGCAAATGTCCCACTGAAGAGTAGCTCCTCAGAAGTAGTGTCCAGAGGGGAATATTTTCTTCCAGCCTGTTAAGGAATCAGAAGTGCTGGGCAAAGGTGACTCATGATCCTGAACTATGCAGCAGGACTATAGAAAAAAATATATAAATTCCCCAAACTTAATTTTTAGTAACCAGGAGGCTGAGGGATTCTTACCCAGTGAAGCCACCATCCTATAATTTTCTTCCATGACTTCCCAGTGCAGGGCCCGTTGATCCGTATCCAGTAAGGCCCTCTCCTCCACACTGAAATGTACAGCCACATCCTCAAATATCACCTGAAAGAAGAAAGTTGGACATACAAATCATTAGTGCTTCTTCTACTGCTAAGAAGAATCCTGATCCATTGAAAGCCTGTGTACAGAATTCAAAGAGATAACTTTTAGGAGTAGCCACACCAACTTTCCTGTGTTGGGTATTCTAAGCAAGTGAGAAGCATCATGATGGAAAGGGAATTCATGCTGTCGCCTGCAACAGTTGTGGGATGTTTGTGTTCTTGCCCAAAGACCTCACAACCTCTGAGGATGCTTGCCATAGATGCAGGTGAAACGTCAGGAGAGAATGCTTCCAGAACATGCCCATATAGCCCGAAAATCCTACAACAAGCCAGTTTTTCTACTATTGTCTGCTGTCTTCTTCTTACCTGATCTTGCTGAATGGATGTCACTTCTCCTGCATCAGAAAGAGTGGAGCTGTCATGTCTTCCCAGAACCCTTGTCTCGTCTCCTGTGAAATACCAAACGTAAGAAGGGAAGCTGAATTTCTTTATTTGTTTTTCAAAGCTCATTTAGAAGTCATAAAGTGGTTTACAATTCAAATAACACAAAGGGGAACAAGAAGATGTCCTCAAAAGAAAGGTCAGAAGGAACTGGAAAGGGTTCTATATGGCACAAGCATTAAAGAGATGCAGCCCGTTCCATACAATACCAGTTTTGGATGTAAATATTCTTAAATAATAATAATAATAATAATAATAATAATAATAATAATAATAATATAAACTTTATTTATACCCCGCCACCATCTCCCACACTAAGACAGTAGATGTGCCTCTTAATGCACACCCAAATACCTGGGAGTCACTCTGGACCGTGCTCTGACCTACAAGAATATCAACAAAAAGTGGGCGCTAGAAACAATATCATACGAAAGCTGACTGGCACAACCTGGGGATCACAACCAGACACAATGAAGACATCTGCCCTTGCGCTGTGCTACTCTGCTGCTGAGTATGCATGCCCAGTGTGGAACACATCTCACCACACTAAAACAGTGGATGTGGCTCTTAATGAGACGTGCCACATTATCACGGGGTGGCTGTGCCCTACACCACTGGAGAAATTACACTGTTTAGCCGGTATTGCACCACCTAACATCCACCAGGGAGTAGCAGGCAATAGTGAAAGGACCAAGGCAGTGACATCTCCAGCTCATCCCCTGTTTGGGTATCAGCCAGCACGTCCACGACTTAAATCAAGAAATAGTTTTTAAAAATCTACAGAGATACTCGCTGGAACACCTCAGCAAGCGAGAGTCCAAAAGTGGCAGGCTCAAACCCAGAACCTCAATCCATGGGTGATACCAAATGAGAGACTCCCCCCTGGGCACACAGAAGACTGGGCGACTTGGAAGGCACTGAACAGACTGCGCTCTGGCACCACGAGATGCAGAGCCAACCTCAAGAAATGGGTCCACAAAGTGGAATCCACGACATGCGAGTGTAGAGAAGAGCAAACTACTGACCACCTGCTGCAATGCAACCTGAGCCCTGCCACATGCACAATGGAGGACCTTCTTATAGTAACATCAGAGGCACCCCAAGTGGACAGATACTGGTCAAAGGACATTTAATCAACTACCAAGCTTGCAAATCTTGTGTTTTATCTGAAACCAGCCCACAATGGATCTGCACCAAACTTGGCACACTACCCACATAGACAACATTGAATAATTGTTCTTTGTTTGTTTGTTTAAAAATGCAATACAACTGCTTGGTTTGCTCCTGACATGATAGATAAATAAATAAATAAATCTCCCCAAACGGGACTCGGATTAGGGTTTAGGGTTACATGAGGCCAAGCCCAGTAATACATTACAGCAAAATAAATGCAGAACGACAAAAATAACATCACAATAAAATAAGTAAAACATAAAAGTACAATAAAACAGTGCAAAGTAACAAAATGAAAAATCAAACGCAATGGGTGAGCCAAATGTACGACATAAAATGATAAAACTCTGGATGAGATGAAAATAAAAAGGTATATTTGTAAGGGAGGAGCTCGTAGGGGACAGAATGGGGGACGATGAGGCCTGGCTCAAGAGCAGTAAGTGTGAAAAAGATCTTGGAGTCTTCGTGGACAACAAGTTAAACATGAGCCAACAATGTGATGTGGCGGTAAAAAAAGCCAATGGGATTTTGGCCTGCATCAAGAGGAGCATAGTGTCTAGATCCAGGGAAGTCATGCTACCCCTCTATTCTGCTTTGGTTAGACCACACCTGGAATATTGTGTCCAATTCTGGGCACCACAATTCAAGAGAGATATTGACAAGCTGGAATGTGTCCAGAGGAGGGCGACTAAAATGATCAAGGGTCTGGAGAACAAGCCCTATGAGGAGCGGCTTAAGGAGCTGGGCATGTTTAGCCTGAAGAAGAGAAGGCCGAGAGGGGATATGATAGCCATGTATAAATATGTGAGAGGAAGCCACAGGGAGGAGGGAGCAAGCTTGTTTTCTGCTTCCTTGGAGACTAGGACGCGAAACAATGGCTTCAAACTACAAGAGAGGAGATTCCATCTGAACATGAGGAAGAACTTCCTGACTGTGAGAGCCGTTCAGCAGTGGAACTCTCTGCCCCGGAGTGTGGTGGAGGCTCCTTCTTTGGAAGCTTTTAAACAGAGGCTGGATGGCCATCTGTCAGGGGTGATTTGAATGCAATATTCCTGCTTCTTGGCAGAATGGGGTTGGACTGGATGGCCCATGAGGTCTCTTCCAATTCTTTGATTCTATGATAAGTATATGGTCATTCTCCATAGGCACAATGGAAGAGCCAAATTTCAAGCTGTTCTTGAAACATTCTTAACAAAATAGCTGTTCAAGACATACATTTTGGGGGACATAATATAAGATCACACGATTGGGAGATCTTACCCAGTGGAGATGCCTCTCTGCTCTCCTGTAGCAGAACAGCCATGGAAACATGTATTTGGGGGCACAACAGAGACCCGACATTTGGAGGAACCCTGAGAGCAAGGACCAAGGAAAAGACCTCTCACCTGGTGGAGCAGCTCTTGTGTCCTCCTCTTCCTCCAGCTTGATCCGCCTGGAAAGGAAGCCACAGCTGGTATCCAATGGGGCCTCCTGGGCCTGAAGGACCTCTCCTTCCTTCTGCTCTTCCTGCAGTGCCTTCTCCTCTTCTGCCTGACTCAAGAGGAAGCCTTCAGCCAAGGCCACAGCCTGGGAACTGGTCTCTGCCCCACATTCCCTCACCCAGTGCTCCATCTCAGGAGGGAGGATGGTCAGGAACTTCTCCAGGATCACCAGGTCCAGCATCTCTGCCTTGGAGTGTTGCTTGGGCTTCAGCCACCGTCCGCAGAGAGAGTGGAGGCGGCTGCAGACCTCTCGGGGCCCCAAGGCCTCCTCGTAGCGGAAGCACCAGAAGCGTTGGCACTGAAGGTCTGCTCTGAAGGACTTCTCCTCCAAGACATCTTGACCCATTCTACCTGGGAACCCAACACTTCTCCTGCCCCACATTTCATAGGGCTCTCCTCCTCCTTCAGGGTTGTTCTGGTCTGGCTGCTCCATCTTCACTCTGGGCTCCATCAGGACTGAAGAACCTCTTCCCTTCGCCATCTGAACATGAAGGAAAGGCTACACAAGACAAAGAGAGGGGAAGGCCAGGTTAATGATCCACTACCCTCAAGACAAAAAGGGTCTTTACCCCCCATTTTTGTGTTGCTGGCTTCCCTGTAAGAAAAGCAGAGCCCTGGCAGCTTAGAGCAAACTACATGAAGAAACACTCTGGGAATCCCTTCCCACTACTCTTCCCTTCCCCTTCTTCCCATCTTCAGCCCCCCCCCCCCTTGTTTCCCTGTATATTCAGTTCTGAAACTGAGAAGAACCCTGGGAGTTGTAGTGTGGCAAAGTTTTTCAAGCCTTCTCTGCCCAAGAGTGCTGGGGCCTCACCAAACTCCCCCTCCCAGGAGGGCAGACCATTCAGACAATGCAGTCCAAGTGGCCCCAAAGTGCGTTCATTCTAAAGTGTGCTCAAGGAGGAGAGTAAGAAGGGAGGGAGGAAAAAAGGAAGGAGGGGAGGGGGGCTCAAGGAGGAGAGGAAGTAGATAGGGAAGAAGGAGAGAATGGAAGGAGGGTGGAAGGGGGGCTAAAAGGAGGAGAAGAAGGAGAAGGAAGGAGAGAAGGAAGGAAGGGAAGGAGGGAAGGGGGGGGAAGGAGGAGAGGAAGGGAAAGAAGGAAGAGAGAAGGAGGAGGGAGGGAAGGAGAAGAAGGAAGGGATGGAGGAAGGGAGGGAAGGGAGAGAGGGAGGAGGGAGGGAAGAAGGAGACGTGGAAGGTGCTAAAAGAGTGAAGCTTGGCTGAAGGAGGAGAGGAAGTAGGTAGGGAAGAAGGAAGGCAAGAATGAAGGGAGGGAGGGAGGGAGGGAAGGAAGGAAGGGGGGAAGGAGGAAAGGAGAAAGAAGGAAGGAATGGAGGGAGGGAGGAAGAGGGGGGAAGGAGGGAAGGGAGGGAAGAAGGAAGGAGAGAGAAAGAGAAGGAAAGGAAGGCTCAAGGAGGAGAGCAAGGAAGGAGGAAGGGGAGAAGGAAGGAAGGGGGGGTCAAAGAGGGAGGGAAGAAGGAAGGGAGGCAGGCAGGGAGGGAAGGGGGCTCAAGGAGGAGAGGAAGGAGGGAGGGAAGAAGGAAGGAAAGGAGAGAGGGGGGAAAGTGTACCAGAAAGGGGAGGGGAAGGAGGAGGAAGGAAGGAAGGAAGGAAGGAAGGAAGGAAGGAAGGAAGGAAGGAAGGAAGGAAGGAAGGAAGGAAGGAAGGAAGGAAGGGGGGCTCAAGGAGGAGAGCAAGAAGGGAGGAAGGAGCCTGGGAGGGAGGGCACAACTGCAGAGCCCGTCTGGTCCCCGGGGGGAAGGAGAGAGGGGCGGAGAGGGAAGGGGCCCGGCTGGGAGGAAGAGCAAGTCTGTCCCCCCGCTTGTCCTGAGCTTGCTGGGAGTTGTAGTCCCCAGCCCTTCCTCCTGTCCCCCGTTTGGCCTGTGTTTGGCCAGCCTCCCTTCCCTCCCCTCCCCTTCCCTCTCGTCCCCCTCCTTACCCTCCAGATCTGACTGAAGATGGGGCGCAAGGGGGACTCACCGCCTGGCCCTGTTTCAAGGGAAGAGATGGGCCAAGGCCCGCTCCTGCCTCTTTGTCTCTGCCACTCCGCTCCCGGGATACCTGCTGCTGTGGGCGGGGCCTCTCCTCCCCGGACACGCCCCCTTCCCACCTCCCTCCCCTTGGGACTCCGCCCCTTGGCCCTTCCTGCCCTTTTCAGTGGCCTTGTTTGACCCCTTTGGGGCCCCTCCCTCCTCCTTGACCCCTCACAGGTCAAACCCAGGCCCCTTGAAAGAAAGAAAGAAAGAAAGAAAGAAAGAAAGAAAGAAAGAAAGAGGGAGGAGGAGGAGAGGGAGGAGGAGGGAGGGAGGGAGGGAAGGAATGAAGGAGAGAAGGAGAAGGAAGGAAGAAAGGAAGGAAGGAAGGAAGGAAGGAAGGAAGGAAGGAGAGGAAAAAGGAGGTAGGAAGGAAGGAAGGAGAAGAAAGGAGGGAGGAAGGGAGGAGAAAGGGGGAGGGAGGAAAAAAAAGGAAGAAGAAAGAGGGAGGAAGGAAACAACTGAAGGATACACCACTGAATGAAAAATAAAAGATGGCTTAATGACGACGAACATGAAGAAGAAAAAGATATAATGGATGGTATGAAGAAAGGAAGGTCGAAAGAAAGTCATAAAGGAAGACGAAATAAAGAATGTGAGAAGTGAAGAGAAGACAGACAGAAGTGGAGGGAATTAAGAAAGGAAGGGAGGGAGGGAGGAAGAAAGGAAGGAAGAAAGGAAGAAAAGAAAGAAGGGAGGAAGGAAGGAAGAAAGGAAGGTGAAAGAAGGAAGAAGAAAGAAAGGAAGAAGAAAAGAAGGGAGGGAGGGAGGAAGAAAGAAAGGAGAAAGAAGGAAGAAGGAAGAAAGAAAATGAATGAATGGTTTCGGTGGTAGTTTTTGGCCATGTTCCAGAAGCATTCTCTCCTGACTTTTCGCCTGCATCTATGGCAGGCATCCTCAGAGGTTGTGAGGTCTGTTTGAAACTAGGAAAATTGGATTTATACATCTGTGGAATGTCCAGAGTGGGAACTCCAGACAAGAAACAATCAGGGACAGCTAATCATCTCTCAACAAAGGATTCTCCTAGGGAGAAATAGGGCACACCCTCTTTTCACTCTTGAGAAAGGAGATCAAAGTGCAAAACACCAGTTTTGGAAGCTAAACAGGGTCAGCCCAAATTAGTATTTGGGTCCTGACGGACATCACTTTTGTCTTTCTCCGAGGATGAGAGGATGTCACCCACACCAGTGGGTTTCCAAGGCCAAGTGGACCAGGCTGTGGCGCAGCTAATTAGTAGCCAGCTGCATTAAATCACTACTTACTGATAAGTCATGAGTTCAAAGCCAGCCCGAGTCGGAGTAAGCTCCCAACCATTAATAATCTAGTTTGCTGTTGACCTATGCAGCCCAAATGACAGTTGCATCTGTCAAATAGGTACTGCTTTATGCGGAGAGGCTAATTTACTCGTAATTATTCCATCATAAAACCTTCCAGCAGCGTGCATAAGAATGAGGAAGTACTCCATCAAGGACTTGGTATCACAAGTGGATAGTGAAGCAGCAGCTCCCCCTGTGGCCGGAATTGAACATACCCTCATGAAGCTGGAAAGCTGGAATGTTAAATTGTGTCTGTCTATATATGTTGTACGTCTGAATGTTTTCCATGTAAAGGTAAAGGTTTTCCCCTGACATAAAGTCCAGGGGTTGGTGCTCATCACCATTTCTAAGCTGAAGAGCTGGCATTGTCCGTAGACACTCCAAGGTCATGTGGCCGGCATGACTGCATGGAGCACCGTTACCTTCCCGCTTTCATGCTCAAGGGGATTTTTCTCCTGAAGGCTTTAACACTTCCCACCCTCTTGGCGTGTGTATGCTTTTTCTCCTGGAGAGTTTTGAGACCAGATTTGAAGACACAGCTCTTCCCATTCTCTGAGCATTTAGAGCAATGGTTCTCAACCTGTGGGTACCCTGGTGTTTTGGCTTACAACTCCCAGAAATCTCAGCCAGTTTACCAGCTAAGGAGGCTGTTCAGGTCCTGAACCGATGCTTGGCAACTGTGATGTCTGGATGAGGCCAAACAAATTGAAATTGAATCCAGACAAGACAGAGGTACTCCTGGTCAGTCGCAAGGCCGAACAGGGCATAGGGTTACAGCCTGTGTTGGATGGGGTCACACTCTCCCTGAAGACGCAGGTTCACAGCTTGGGAGTGATCTTGGATTCATCATTGAGCCTAGAACCCCAGGTTTTAGTCTAGATCCAGGGAAGTAATGCTACCCCTCTATTATGCCTTGGTTAGACCACACCTGGAATATTGTGTCCAATTCTGGGCACCACAATTCAAGAGAGATATTGACAAGCTAGAATGTGTCCAGAGGAGGGCGACTAACATGATCAAGGGTCTGGAGAACAAGCCCTATGAGGATCAGCTTAAGGAGCTGGGCATGTTTAGCCTGAAGAAGAGAAGGCTGAGAGGATATATGATAGCCATGTATAAATATGTGAGAGGAAGCCACAGGGAGGAGGGAGCAAGCTTGTTTTCTGCTTCCCTGGAGACTAGGGAACAATGGCTTCAAACTACAAGAAAGGAGATTCCATCTGAAGAGGAAGAACTTCCTGACTGTGAGAGCTGTTCAGCAGTGGAACTCTCTGCCCCGGAGTGTGGTGGAGGCTCCTTCTTTGGAAGCTTTTAAACAGAGGCTGGATGGCCATCTGTCAGGGATGCTTTGAATTGCAATATTCCTGCTTCTTGGCTGAATGGGGTTGGACTGGATGGCCCATGAGGTCTCTTCCAACTCTTTGATTCTATGATTCTATGATCTCTGGACCCACAAGTTCAGAACCACTGATTTAGAGGCTTCTCTCCTCTAAGATTCACTTCATTCTCAAAGGGGTTTTTCTTCTGAGTGAAGGCTTTAACAAACTCCAGGCATTTAATAATAATAATAATAATAAACTTTATTTATATCCCGTCAACATCTTCCCAATGGGGACTCAGAGTGGCTTACAGGAGGCCAAGCCCAAACAACAAGTTACAACAGAGTAAAACCGAAAACGCAAACGATAAACAACAACATCATAATTGCATAAAACATGTGAATACATAACAATATAAAATTACAACAGGAGCAATCACAGTGACAATGGGCGGGTTACATGTAATGATTAAAAGAAAAAAACTAATTAAAAACTCAGGTGAGATAAAAGAGAAGCAGGTTATTTCCATGGCTTCTTTCCCACATGGGTTTTTCTTTTACTAAGTTCTTGTGGGTTTTTTTCAGGCTATATGGCCATGTTCTAGAGGCATTCTCTCCTGACGTTTCGCCTGCATCTATGGCAAGCATCCTCAGAGGTGAGGTTGCTTGCCATAGATGCAGGCGAAACGTCAGGAGAAATGCCTCTAGAACATGGCCATATAGCCCGAAAAAACCCACAAGAACTTAGTGATTCCAGCCATGAAAGCCTTCGACAATACATTTTCTTTTACTACTTTGTGAAGCTTGTTGTGCAACTCAACTCTTTCCAAAAGGCAGGAATGTGGACAGTTTCTCTTTGTAAGAACATTCCAGTAAACTTTGAGGATTGATCAGGTTCCAGACGTTCTGCCTTCTCTCCCACGTGGGCTTTTTAGTGGGCCTCGAAACTGCTCTCCAATGGAAGCTCTTCCCTCACTCCAGACATGACGTTGGTCTCATCTTCTGTACGACTATCCGGGACATTTGTGAGGTCTAATTTGTAGCCAAAACTCTTCCCACACTTTCCCGTAAGCCTGTTCTGGTGAGCTTTAAGGACACATTTCAGGCTGTAACTCTTCCCGCACTCTAGGCATTGATAGGGTTTCTCTCCTCTGTGATTCATTTCATGTCCAATAAAATTGGTCTTCTCAGTAAATCCTTTTCCGCACACCAGGCATTGATATGGCTTCTCTCCTGTGTGGATTCTTTCGTGTCTCTTCAGGGCTCCTTTCCGAAAGAAACATTTTCCACACTCCAGGCATTGATATGGCTTCTCTCCTATGTGGATGTTTTGGTGTTTACGGAGGGAATAGCTTTGACTAAAGAGTTTTCCACACTCCAGGCATTTATATGGCTTCTCTCCCAAGTGGGTGTTTTGGTGTAGACTTAGGCTCTCTCTCAAAGAGAAACTCTCCCCGCATTCCAGACATTTATAGGATTCCTCTGCTCTGTGTTTCACTTCATGTCTAATAAGACTTCTCTTATCAGAAAAACCTTTCCCACACTCCAGGCATTTATATGGCTTCTCTCCCGTGTGGGTGTTTTGGTGTCGACTGAGGCTATCCTTTTGGGTATAGCATTTTCCACACTCCAGGCATTGATATGGCTTAAATCCCAAGTGGGTGTTTTGGTGTCTACGGAGGCTTCCTTCTTCATAAAAGGAGTTTCCACACTCCAGGCATTGATATGGCTTAAATCCCAAGTGGGTGTTTTGGTGTCTACGGAGGCTTCCTTCTTCATAAAAGGAGTTTCCACACTCCAGGCATTTATACAGCTTCTCTCTTGGGTGGTTTCTTTCATGTGTCTTGAGGTATCTTTTACGAAAGAAACATTCCCCACACTCCAGGCATTTATAGGGTTTCTCTCTCATGTGGGTGTTTTGGTGTCTACTGAGACTATCCTTTTGGGTATAGCATTTTCCACACTCCAGGCATTGATATGGCTTCTCTCCTGTGTGGGTGCTTTGGTGTCTACGCAAGCCTCCTTTTCGAGGGAAGCGTTTTCCACACTCCAGGCATTTATATGGCTTGCCCACAATTTGGTGTTTCTTATTGTTTGTACTCGACGCCTCCTGGAAGAAGCCATTCTCATAGACAGGGCTGTTTCCCATCTCCCTGCTTTCATCTATTGTCTCTTCGATTGTGATTTCTCTGATGTCGACAGGGCACTGATTCCCATTATATCCTTCTGTTTCCATTTCTTCTTCCTTATGACATCTCTCTGTGTTCAACCACATTATATTTGGAGCTCCCTCGTTGTCACTCCCTTGTCCATCACCACCTTGAAAGAAGAAAGACAAAAAGAAGGAAGGCGTGAGAAAAGGGAACACTGAAATCAAGCAACTACTTGAATGTTCAATGTATTGTCGAAGG